GGGGGGGGGGTTATTTTATATGTGCAGGGATAGGGATTTTTTTTTTATGTGAAGGGGGAAGAGTATTAGGCTCCATTCACACCTGTATCTTTAGGTGCAATTAGGGATTCCTGCATCAGGAATCACTAATCTGGCATTTACAAGCGGCCGTTGTCACCCATTCAAGTTAATGATCAGGTGTTAGCAGTTGCATGTAAACTCCTGCACACTGCATGTAATGATATGTGATATGATTCCATTCGGTTAGGAATCATATCACATATCACGGTTAGCAATGATTGTGCATCCAGGGACAGTCTTTTCTAACCGCATGTAGTAATATCACATATCATTACATGCAGTGTGCAGGAGTTTACATGCAACTTCTGCCACCTGATCATTAACTTGAATGGGTTACAGCGGCCGCTTGTAAATGCCAGATTAGAGATTCCTGATGCAGGAGACGCAAGTTTCTGACACAGGAATCCCTAATCGCACCTAAACCTACAGATATGAATGGGGCCTTATTGTGTGTGTATTGGTGTCCATAGTACCAAACTGGATATAGTTACATTTTATTTTAAAGTTTGAAATTTGTCGAGCGGCCCCCATGAGAGAAAAACACTTGTCTAGTGGCCCCTGAGGGAATTGAGTTTGAGACCCCTGATCTACAGTATTCCTGTTGTTGCAGTAATCCTCCAGCTCCCTGTGATATCCAGAACTGATCTTATCACTATGTGGGAGAAGTGTGGAGCTCTTATGACCAGACCTGTTTTCCGATGTCTTCAGGTTGGTTTGGCATTGCGATCCTGGTGATGCCGGGTAGATCGATTAGAGTGAGATCAGGAACATCAGGAGAGACAATTTCCAGGGTTATCAGCTCATCGCTGATTCCATGATTTGTACCGGCTATAATGTTCTGTGCTGGAAAAAAAAAAGAATAAAGTCAGGCAGACAGCAGATAGAGTCTTGTATTAAAGCTAAATAGAGAGTCCCACCAGACTCCTGACCAAGAAGCCCCATATAATGTGGGGAGGGGGATGCTGAAGTGGCCACAGATGGTGCCCCAAATACTTGCAAAACAGAAAAAATGGTCACCAGCATCCTTTTATTCATTATTGCAGGTCATATCACTATGTGTGGTAACTTTTCAGAACCTGTCCAGTCCCTTCATCAGGCAAAAAAAAAGTGATGTTCACCTGATGAAGGGATCGGACAGTTTCCGAAACCTTGCCACGCATGATGACCTGCAAGAATGAATAAAAGGATTTTGTTTTGAAGAAAACTTATATTAAAGCTAGACACACACATTAAAAATTAGATTTTACAGACTTTTAAATCTTAGCAGTCTCTACTTGAGCAGTCTCTATCTCCCCCCTCTTTCCCCATCCACTTTCTAAACTAAGATTGTTGAGCTGGTACATCCGCATGGTCCGTGGTCTTTTGGTCCAAAATGGACCAAATGGGATGGTAAGTGTTGTGACAAGGTTAAACCTAGTGTGATTTACTGATGAGCATGGTAAAAAAAAAGGTTTTACATTAACATTTTTATGACCAAAATTACTTCTTAAAACTGGTAACTAAAGTAGTGTATGACTTATCAAAAGTACAAGTTTTATTCTGCGATTGTTGTAAATGCCAGGTCCGTACGACGTACTGAGCTGGCCAGCTGGAAGCACTTTTGTAGCTCCGTACGACGTACGTCCTTGGCAGCGAAAGGGTTAAAGGCATCATAATGTTTCTGGTACAAAGTATTTTAAAAAATTTGTAGCTAAAAAAAAAAAAGGGAACAAAAACAAATTTAAAAGGTTAAAAAGTAAAAACAAAAAAATTAGCTAAAAGAAGAAGTAGAGGATGGCGTTTAAGGTGAAGTTTAATCTGCTTATATTTTGCCTTGCCTGGCTGCTGCTTCTCCACCACCCACCCTCTCCTCAATAAACATACTAATGACAGTATGACAGCACAGTGCATAAGATGATCAGGGAAATGTGTACGGATTAAAGCAAAGCTGTACTAAAAGAAATACGGAGGTTGGAATTGAGGAACTTCTGAAACTATAGTTGCTTGGATACCTCCAGCTTCATTGTTTTCTGAGGCATGTCCCAGGTCAGACAGTGCTAAAGCCTTTGGATCAGCATGACAGCCAGATAACTAGACACACCATTCCTACCCTGGACACTGCTGAATCTCCCTTGTGGTGACACGAGTCACAGTTGTCTAGCAGAGGTGACATTTGCCAATGTCCAGGAAAGGAAGGGAGGTGTGTCTGAACAGAGATGGGTTCAGTGAAAATTAGGGATGCACCGATACAGAAACTAGTATCAATATCGGTGCTGATACCTGAGTAGTAGACCCCAAAGGGTCTGGTATGAATTAGGGGGGGGGAGGAGCCACACCATTATTATTTTTTTATTATTGTTTCTGTGGACTGTTAAAAAGAAAAAAGTAACTTTTTTTTCTAATGTCATTTGCTGCAACGAAAATTCATTCATAACGATCATTTAACTCATCTGAATCCGAATCCCGAACCGAATTGACTTTCGGACCCGAAAACCTAAACGAAAGTAACCAAATTTTTTGCTGGTGCATATGTCTATTTTACGTAAATATAAATATAATTAACGTTCGCTTTGCACTAATCTTTTATTTTTTACAATAGCCAAAAAAGAGAATCTGTTATATGAAAGTGTAGCGCCCCCCTGACCCCAGATGCATGTGAGGGACCCCAAAGGCAGGGTGGGCTGACATTTAACCACAGGAAGTCCTTAGCTGGTTGCGGGACACAAATCTAAAGTTGGGCACAATCATGCCCCAATAATGTCCTAGAGATGGGTCCCTCTGAGCCACGATCTCGACATTGGCGTCTGAACGACTCCCTTTTACAAGACCTGGTACTCTCAGCTATGATAAAAACTGACAGATCTCCTCCCCACTGAATGGGGCCTGAAGTAATGCTAATTGCATCACTTCCGGTCCCTCAGCAATCTGCGCTAGGGATGCAACCAACTAATCGATTAATCCATAATGAGAATAGTTGTCAACTATTCTCTCTCCTCCACGCTGGGAGGAGGGCACAGCAGGCAGTGGGCAGGTTCAATAGCCAGCCTGCTAATGGCTATTGCAATTTGAAATGCACCAGCCCACTACCTGCTGTATTTACATTCAGCTGCTGACGTCTGCGGAATTCTTGCCTCTGGCAGCTGTCATTCCCTGGCTGAAGCTATTCAAGCTTCATGTGCTTACAATACAATTATTAAAAAAATATATATAAAAGGTTGGAAAAAAGTCATTTTTGGTTTCGGCCTGACAATCCTGCTGCGGGAGGTGCGTTGCAGTGCCATTCATTTCAATAGCACCCCAAACACGCCTCCCAGCCACAGTGTGATCACCCGCACTGGAACTCACGGTACCGCAATGCCATGTATTCCAGTGCAGTGCGATTGCAAAAATTATGCATGCAGTTTTATTCAGAAGTAAACTTTATGTTTGTAACATTGCATTTGTGTATTTTGTTTGAAATTAAGGATGGTATTTTTTTTTTATCAATTAATCAAAAACAATAATCGGCCAACTTATCGATTATGAAAATAATCATTCGTTGCAGCCCTAATCTGCACTCAGATAGCTTCTGTGGAGTGGAAAGGTGACACTAGGGGTCGAATTGATCTCTAATGTCACCTTACAGAGAACATGTCACCTTGTTAGCCCCATTATCTGATAGCAATTAAGTATCACCACTCCATACTCAGTAGGCCCAAAGAAAATGGTGGTCTTGCCCTTACTGATATATATCTATATTATTTAGCTGCTCATCTGTCTCTTATTGTTGATTGGTGAAGGCGTGGTGAATTAAAATTAGGAGTCCCCTGTGGAGAAAGCATTCTCTCCTATACCTCTTCTGGCTCTTTCATGGTGCTCCAGTCAGCTACCACGAGATATCAAGCTCCACCTGACTTTTGGTATGATGTGGAAGGATTCCCATTCAGTTCTTCATTCCCGACAACTCTTCATTTTCCCTCCTTCACTGCTTCCAGAATTACCCAGAATTTTCCTTCTGGCCTACATAAGTTGGCTTTTCTACACCTTGGCCGGTTAGGAAAGTTCCAAGTTCTCAGTTCCTTAAGGAATCCTCACCCTTGCTGCCAGAGATGTTCTTGGAAACACAGTCAGTTGTTTCACTTTTTCTTTTCATGACCTCGTCTGGCTGCTCTCATCCTCCCACTCACAGTTTTCAAGTAGGAATGTTTGCATCCAAAGTCCTTTCACTCTGCTATAAACTACTTCTACTGCCAGACTTCGACTTAAAGTGACATTAAACCCTCAGATTGTTTAACATAAAACAATACTGTAATGTGCGCCTTATTGTAATCCATGGTAGTTTCCCTTCTCTTTGCTGCTCTTCCTTTTAAATCCTCATGTCTTCTCATGCTGGGCAGAACTTCTGTTTTGCAGCAGACTGCCTTGTCTCTGGAATGGATACATGGTGTCTGTGTGAAGGTTCACAACCTGAGCCAGCACTACAGGAAGAGGCACTCAGCTGCAAAGGGAAGTTCTCCCCCAGCATGAGAAGAGATAAGGATTTAAAAGGAAGAGCAGCAAAGAGAAGGGAAACTACCATGGATTACAGTAAGGCGCACATTACAGTATTGGTTTATGTTAAAACATCTGAGGGTTTAATGTCACTTTAACCTACTAAACACCATTGGGATGAATTGGAATGCGGATTTCCCCTTCTCAACAATTGCCCCAACAAAATCTGCCCCCGAAACTATTTCCCCAGTGCAGTCTGCCCCCTAATAATTTCCCCTATGCAATTTCCCCTTCTCAACAATTGCCCCAGTGCA